CAAACATTTATTTCTACATATATGTGCAGTAGTTTTTAAAACAAAGTGTTCTACATCGAACCACTAAAACCCGCACATATTTTTTGTAAATACATAGCAAAATAAAAATTAACCTGTACTGTCAGCTCACCTGAGACATTAAAAAGAAAGAACGCAAGTGGGACTTGCGGTTTCCTGTGGACCGCATGTCCTACTCGCATTTTGACGACCTTACCAAAGTTGTGCCTCAGATGCATCATATCACATCTCGACTGACAAAAAGCAAGATCGCAAGTGAGAATTGCGGTCTGCCATCGACCGCAACTCCCACTCGCGTTTTGACCAGCTTTTTTTCCTTGGTCAGCAGAGACATCACATCTCTGCCGTGGTCAGCCGAGACATCACATCTCCGCTTTTTTTGTTACCTGTGCCAACCACCTGGTTGGTTAGCCGAGACATCACATCTCCGTGACAAAAAGCAAAATCGCAAATCCCACTTGCGTTAGCTTCTTTAAATACTTGCGTTCTACCTCGCATATAAATAGCCCACTGGTGCCGTTTTACATTCAAACATTACATTTTTGCCGTTTTACATTCAAACATTACATTTTTTACTTAAACGATTTAGCTAATTTTTTTATTCTCTATGGGAAGTTTGTTTGTTTGGTTTTTTTTTTTTACAACTTTCTCATGCCCAGTATTTCCCCAGTATTTCATGCTACCATATTTTTTCTGTGAATCCGAAATTCAATGAATTTTAACTAAATTTCGCGAATACTAGTTCTATTAACAGGTTCGTTCATGTTAGCCTACAGACTTCGTATTGGTTAGCTCGTACAACACATCTTTTATACGAATATATGATGTATATCCAATTTGTGTAATTTTTTGTTTTTTATTTTTTGTTTATTTACGAATTTCAGGTTATAGGCTGCGCCTTATTAAATGACTTCTGCAAGGAGTCAATGACAAAAATAAGGTTACTAAACGTTCAAAGGTCCAAAAGGCCTATGATTCGGAAGATGACATTGATGCAAGAGAAGTCACATTTCATAACTGTGTCAATGACTTCCAGCAGCCGCAAATTTAATGACAATTCAACGCAATTTCTTTTGTAATTTATGTAGTTTATGATGTATATCTAAGTTGTGTAATTTGCGATTGATTTAAATGTATTTGTATACATTTATATCACGATTTCAGTTTGACTACTTTATCACCAAATATCATATCAATCGAAATTTCACTAATTTTTTCAGTTTGGTAAAACAAATATTCATTTCACTACTTTAGAGTGCTTCAAACATACATACAAACTAATAAGCAGTAATTTCACTCCAGCTATTGAGACATTTCGAAATTAAACATAAAAATAAAAAAACAAATTTTTTTTAAAAAAAATTAATTTCAGTACGATATGGTTTGTTTCAAACAAATAGCACAGAGTGGGATTCGAACACATGTCTTCAAGGTAAATAGAAGTTTTATTGTCATAAAGTTTACCAAATAGGCTAAATGTATTACTTAGATAAGCATAGTATCCCGTTGTATTTGTTCATGATGTTGGACGCAATATTACGTTTAAAACGCATGTGGCTCATGCGATTCACTTCGAATTAACACAGAGTGGGATTTGAACACGGGTCTTCAATGTGGCTCATGCGATTCACTTCGAACTAACACAGAGTGAGATTTGAACACGAGTCTTCAAGGTAAATAGTAGTTTCATTGTCATCAAATTTACCAAATAGGCTAAATGTATTACTTAGATGAGCATAGTATCCCTTTGTATTTGTTCATGGTGCTGAACGCAATATTACGTCTAAAATGCATGTGGCTCATGCGATTCACTTGGAACGCATTTTCCACACGCGGGTTGCCATTGTCAGTCTCCGGCGACTGACCGGCGAGTAAAACGCATGTAGGAGATGCGTTTGACGTATAATACTCCAAACGCATCTCTTACATCCGTTTAACCGTATATTAAAAGTATACGTCAAACGCATTTACGTAATGTGTTTGACATATACGATACCTCAGACGCAAATGGCATTTGCGTATGAGGAAACGGTTAGAAAAAAATAAAAGAACTGGGACATGCCTTTTAGGCATGTCCCAAACGAACTTTTCATAAAATTGTCCACCACAAATCACCGTCCTATTTTGGAAAATGAGAACCATATTTGTCATATTTCAGTCTTTTTCCCCTTGAAGACAGGGGTGATGCCTGCTGATGTTAATGACACCGTGGTTACACTTATACCCAAGGTCAATGACCCTTGCAGGGTGAACCAACTTCGCCCCAACCATAAGCCTGTGCAATGTTACGTATAAAGTGATCACTAAAACTATGACCAACCGCATTAAAAGCACCATGAGCAAGGTGGTAGGACATGAGCACAGCAGCTTTGTGTCAAAAATACAATTTAAAACAACCATTTAATACCAAGACTATGTGGCCTAATGGTACTTGGGTTTGACTTTCATTTGGAAGGTTGTAAGTTTAAGCCTCAGTGAAGGCGTAATTGGTTTTGTGTGTTTTAGTAGGTTGAAAAAGTGTATGAACAGACACTACACACTACATTGTAATGGAGCCAATAGCACATTCAAAAAAAAAAAAAAAAAAAAAAAAAACACAACCATTTAATATAAAAATTGGGGCCCTGATCTAATAGTACCTTCGTCATTTTGATAATACAGTAAAACTGCAATAATAGATATGAGAAGAGAGATATTTTTTTTTGTAATAATTAGATTTCTTTATAATGATACATAGAGATACCTATTTATAAAGGTAATTGTGCCCAAATATAATGCATAAAAATTTAACAAAGAAATTTCTCCAAAAAATAAAAATTTAACAAAGAAAAATATAATTCAAAATTTAATTTAAAAGTGACATTTTTAGTGCATATTTAAATACAAAATTATTAACTAAAATTTCTATTACAATTCCTTCCAAAATTTTATTTTGAATTACAATTAAAAGTCAACTGAATTCTAAAAAATAATTATCAAGTACAAAAATAATAGATCACATATAAAATATATTTTAAAAAAATTGGGCCCCTATTTTGTCGCCCTATATTTTTTCATGTACATCTACATTATATAAAATGTACTTTCAATTATATATATATATATATATATATATATATATATATATATATATATATATATATATATATATCACCTCCTCTATCTTATTAAAAAGCATAATAATGAATGATGAAACTAAGACTTAGTTATGAAAATTCTAAAAAAATGTGTAACTTCTGAAAACGATTATTGACTAAACTTAAGAAAAAAAATTTACATACTAAAAATCTCAAGTTACTCCGTTGGTGAATTTTTCATGAAAGAAACCTGAGAAATTTGAAATCATTTGTATCTCAAAAGTTATAGTTTGATTACCTTTGTTGCTTAGTAAAGAAAATTGAAAATTTATAGGATAGTGTTTTTCACACGTTTGAAGACAATGATCAAATGTTTATTTGTTTATGCTAAGTCTTAAGTTTGTTTGTTTATGCTTAGTCTTAAGTTTGTTTGTTTATGGTAAGTCTTTAAGTTTGTTATACGAGAGTCAGGTTCCTAACAAGTCATACTAAAGCTATTGAAATACTTTTAGAATTGAACAATCTTGAAATAAGAGGTTAAGAAGTGAAAAATAATGTTGTGAAGGTGGTTTTGAGAATAAAATCTGAATTTTGTACTTTACCCCTCAAATTTTAAATATTTTTTAATTTTTTCGTCAGCTTTAACTTTTAACGGTCACGGACCAAATGCGCCATTTCGTTTATAACTAAAGGACTAAAAATGGATACTGTAATAATTCAGGGACCGAATCGAAACTTGGGTATAACTTGTTAGGAACAAGTGTATTTAGATTTTGATGATACCAACCTTGCTAGGATCGTAGATTCCTATTTTATTTTCTTTGTCTTTGATATTTCTTGTTAGACGAAAGATTTAGCAACTCACCATGTGATTCGGTTAAGTAGCATATATACACGAATCTGAGTTGTGACCACTAGTTTAGGTCTACGAGAAGAAGTGAAGAAGAAGAGAAGACCGAGAAAACAGCACAGACCGAAAGATGGAAGGGTCTAGCTCTCGTGTAAAATGATAAGGAAAGTCCTATTATCATTCAAGCCAACGAAAAATAAAGACAATCTTTCGTGTGACACCTCTGAGACAATTAAGTCTAAGTCAGGCTTAAAAAGACAAAGTTAATACATGAACAAAGGGAATGTTGTCTATGTTTCTCGGAGGGCAATCAGCCTAGACAAAAGAATTCCTAGGAATGATATTCACAAAATCAAGGAGTATTAAATGATTTGTACTTGTTGTCAGAAGAAAATGACAAAGCCACAATGCTTTTTGGACTCCAACGGATACACAGTACAATCGCAATAAATGCTCCATGACCAATGGTCAATACACACTGGTTAATAGGTTCGAAATTTCATCTCCCTCCAACGGATGAATTTTTCCTCTCCTATAAATACCTCTCTTCTCCACTTAAGAAGGTGCTAGTTGTTCAACTGATTTCATTTTAGAAAAGCCCTTCAAACAAAGATCATACCAAAAGCTTTTCATAACCACTGTTTGTGATTGTGAAGTTTTCAAGAAGCTCATCCAAATTCATCCTTCACAATCATTAAGGAAGTCTTGCATCTTTATAAGAAGATTCATCTGATCATTCAAGTCAAGACTTCAAGCAGTTGGAGAAATTGATTTACATCATCCAATGTTAGTTATATATATTATTATTCTTTTTATTGTAATATGTTAGTCAATAATGTAATAGGTGATTAAGTCTTTAGTCATCCTATTAGATAGGACACTTACGAGAGTTGTTTAGCCTTTTGTATTGTATTCCTGTCATTCAGTTTGAATTGAATATTGAACGCTTATCTCATTTGGTATTAGATAAGTCAGGTTCTCTCTCTCTTCCACCACCTTCGATCACCTTCCCTCTCTATCGCACCCAAACGCCGGCAACCACCCATCCTTCCACCATGTCCACCAACTCCTCTGAAAGGACCGTGGCTGCCGGCGCTACAACTCCATCGGCGACTGCCCAGAATCCACTTGCTGGTGCGCATCACCATGTCTCTATCAAACTTACCTACCGCAACTTTCTGTTCTGGAGAACCCAGTTGGTTCAATTTCTCCATGGCCAAGAATTGCTTGGCTTTGTCGATGGAGATACACCTTGCCCACCGTCCGCGATCGAGGCGACACCGGCCTCCGATGAGTCAAATTCCGCCGCTACCACTGGTGTTCCGGTGCCCAATCCTGCATACAAAGCATGGATCAAACAAGATCAATCTATCTTGTCATTCATCATTTCATCCCTTTCGGATGAAGTGATGCATCTCGCCGTCGGCAAGGCCACATCCAGGGAGGTCTGGGAGTCGATCATGGCGGCGTTGGGGAGCACCACACGGGCCCGATGTCTCAGCTTTCTTGGACAGTTCCACTCCCTACGGCAAGGCAACGGAAGTGCGGTCAAGTACCTCGGGCGTGCTCAGCTACTGGTGGAACAGCTAGCTCTCGTCGGCAGGCCCATCTCCCTCGACGAACAGAATTTGTTCGTGTTCCGTGGTCTCCGGCCGGAGTACCTCTCTTTGGCCTTGTCTCTCACGGCGGCAGGTATTCCCGTTACAATCTCGCAAATTTCAGATTATCTTCAAGCCCATGAATTTATCCATGCCGAGGATTACCCGGCTGGTTCAGACGGTGGATTTACTGCTGCTCCGTCTGCAATGTACGTGGGCCGCGGAGGTCGTAATAATGGCGGGCGAAGCACTAGAGATGGTGGTAGACACGGCCAGAACCGAGGCCGTGGTGGCCGAGGCGGTCAGAACCGAGGCCGCAGCGGCAGAAACAGTGCACTACGATGCCAAATATGCAGAGCCCAGGGCCATACCGTAGTCTACTGTTTCAAAAGATATACTACACAGCCTCCCGCCCAGGTGAATATGGTGACCGCCGGCGATGAATCTGCTCCTCCGTCCTCGGCTTCGGGCTGGTTGCCGGTGATGAATCTGCTCCTCCGTCCTCGGCTTCGGGCTGGGTTCCCGACATAGGCGCGTCGGCTCATGCAACCCCCGACGCGTCCATGATGTCTCAGGCAGACGAGTACACCGGCGGGGATGTTCTTCGTGTTGGTAACGGCGCAGGTTTGAAAATTTCCCATGTTGGTCATGCATCGATCCCATCTAGTTAAAAAATGTTGCGTTTATCTAATGTTTTGTGTGTCCCGGATTTACCTGTTCCCTTATTGTCTGTTAATCGCTTCACTAACGACAATAACGTATTTTTTGAGTTTCACAAAAACTACTTTGTTTTGAAGGATTCCATAACCCGAGCGATTCTGCTTAAAGGTCCAACATCCGGTGGTCTGTACTAGCTTCTAGTTCCCCACTCTCAGTTTGCGTTTCTGACTTCCCGGGCAACTCCTGTAGTTTGGCACCGTAGATTGGGCCACCCGCATGCACACATTCAAAATAAAGTTCTGCAGTCCTGTCCGGCTGCGCCTGATAAAGCCAATAAATTGGGGTCGTGTGCGCCTTGTCACCTCGGCAAATTTTCCAAACTTCCTATAGATAGGGTTTTTCATCCTAGTCAAAATGTATTGGATTTAGTTTTTACCGATATCTGGGGTCCGTCTCCTGTAATCTCTACTAGTTGATTTAGGTATTTCCTACTATTTGTAGATGATTACTCACGTTTCTGTTGGTTTTATCCCTTACGGGTAAAATCTGATATATATAAATGTTTTGAGTCGTTTCGTGTCATGGTAGAACGCCAATTTTCGTGTTCAATCAAGTCTATTCAGTCGGATCTAGGCGGTGAATATCGCTAGCTTCACTACACTTTTAGGAGGCTCGGCATTATTCACCGTCAATCCTGTGCGTATACACATGAACAAAACGGTAGAGTTGAACGGAAGAACAGGCTTATTGTTGAAACCGGGTTGGCACTCTTGGCCGAAGACTCTGTCCAACTACAATATTGGGACTATGCTTTTGAAACGGCTACTTGCCTAATTAACTATTTTCCAACACCTACCTTACAGTTTGAAAGCCCGTACAGCTGCCTACATAAACACTCACCACCATACACTTTTCTCCGTGTCTTTGGGTGTCGCTGTTACCTTTATATGAGGCCTTATAATCGCCACAAGATAGAGTACCGGTCGGCACCCTGTGTTTTCTTAAGTTACCCATCGTCCATTAGGGGGTATAGATGCATGAACCTAACTAATGGAAAGATCTACATCTGTCGTCATGTGCGCTTTGATGAAATTGTTTACCCTTTTTCAGACGTAGGTGGTCAAAGAAGTGTTCCACAAGTGCCACCTGCACTACCATGGGCTACTAGCCCGGTGTTGACCGAGCAGTTGCATGTTGCGCCCGCTGTGGCGTCATCCGGGCCTATACACCCGGTGAGCCCGGCTAGCCTGGTACCACTTGCCCGGGACATATCGCCATTGGCCTTAGAAGGGCCCAAATGAAAACGAGCCACTCGCACCGCACCCCAGGAACGAGATCATGGTATGCGGTTACGGCACATGACATGGGGCACGGACGAGCAATTTCATGCTCTAAGTGCTGTAACTGACCCGACCTAGGCATCCACAGTGGCATGAAGCCATGGACCAGGAGTTTAATGCACTCTTGCATAATAGCACACGGGTTTTGGTACCTGCTGAACCACACATGAATGTGATTGGCTGCAAGTGGGTGTTCCGCACCAAACGCCAAGCTGATGGTTCAGTTGAGCGCTATAAGGCTCGGCTTGTCGCGAAAGGGTTCAACCAGGTAGCGGGCGAAGACTTCTTTGACACTTTTAGCCCTATAGTCAAGCCGACTACAGTACAACTTCTCTTTTCTCTGGATGTGTCCCATAGTTGGACGATGCGGCAGTTAGATGTCCACAATGCCTTTCTCAATGGGCAATTGGCCGAAACAGTGTACATGAAACAACCACCCGACTATGAGGATCCGGTACATCCAGATCACGTGTGCCATCTGCAGCGGTCTCTATACGGTCTCAAACAAGCTCCATAGGCTTGGTTCAAGAGAGTACATGATTTCTTACTATCTCCAGGTTTTATGCCGTCCAAGACCGATGTCAGCCTATTCCACTACTCTGCCGGTTCGTCTAAGGTTTACTTACTTTTGTACGTTGACGACATTATCATGATGGGGAATGACCCGCCTCTTATTTCTACTCTATGGCATCGGCTTTCTACCGCGTTCAAGATCCATGACCTAGGCTCCCTCTGGGTTCTTTCTCGGGATTGAAATACTACAGGTTGAAGCTGGGATTATGCTGTCTCAGCGGCATTATATGAAGGATATCCTAAATCGTGCCGGTATGACTGACTGCAAACCTTTGGCAACTCCAGCTGCTGTCACGCAATCAGTTTCCCCATCGGATCAGCCACATGATAATCCGACTCAATACAGGCGCATTGTGGGCGCTCTACAGTACCTCACTATCACCAGCCCGGATCTCTCTTATGCTGTGAATCGGCTCTGTCAGTTCATGCACTCACCGACAGTTGATCATTGGGGTCTCCTGAAACGAGTCGTTCGGTATATCAAGGGTACACTGGAGTACGGTCTGCAAATCACAGTCTCTGCTTCCTCAGCTATTCACGCTTTCTCTGACTCCGATTGGGCTGGTTGTCCGCTAGATAGGAAAAACACGAGTGGGTATGCTGTCTTCTTGGGGTCCAATCTCGTCTCTTGGCTATCTCGAAAACAGCGCACTTTTGCACGCTCGTCCACCGAGGCCGAATACAAGGCCCTAGCCGTTGTCTCCGCTGAAGTCACATGGGTTGTCTCGTTACTTCGAGAACTTGGTCTACACACTGGAGAAGCGTCCACTCTCTAGTGTGATAATCTGGGCGCTACCTACCTTTGCAATAATCCTGTGTTTCACGCCAGAACCAAGCATGTGGAAATTGACTTTCATTTCGTTCGAGACAAGGTTGCGTCAGGGGGACTTGGTTGTTAACTTCGTATCAACAAAGAATCAGCTAGCAGACATCTTCACCAAACCCTTGTCAGGTCCACGGTTTACTGCTCTACGTGACAAGCTCAATGTGGTGTCTCACCAACTTTGTGTTTGAGGGGGAGTGTTAGTTATATATATATTATTATTATTCTTATTATTGTAATATGTTAGTCAATAATGTAACAGGTGATTAAGTCTTTAGTCATCCTATTAGATAGGAGACTCTTACGAGAGTTTTTTAGCCTTTTGTATTGTATTCCTGTCATTCCAGTTTGAATTGAATATTGAACGCTTATCTCATCTCCAACACTCAACTCTGAAGAAGAAGTTGATAGAAGTGGAGTAAACTCTAAGAGTTGAAAAACCTTCCAAGTAGCTGTCCGACTTAGTGATCAAAGAAACTAGCTTGAGTAGTTTATACTAGGAGTGATAGTGCAAACCCTTTCAGGAGTTGTGAAAGAAGAGTGGAGTAGACTTTGTTAATAGCGGAACCACTATAAAAATCTCTCTCTCTATCTCCCTTTACTTTCGCATAACTATCTATCTGTGATTGCATGCATACTGGTCATAACCTAATCTTTCGGAAAGAAATCGTGTAAAGTTCATTCCAAAACGTAGATCGATACAATTTCCGCTGCGCATAACCCCGAAAGGAGTTATATCTGAAAAATTGATTAGAGTCTATTCAACCCCCCTCCCCTCTAGACTCTCTTTCGACCCTACCGGGATCAACATAACTCGGTGGACCAAAAATTCAATTTTCCCTATTATTATTATTATTATTATTATTATTATTATTATTATTATTATTATTATTATTATTATTATTATTATTATCATTATCATTATCATTATCATTATCATTATCATTATCATTATCATTATTATTTTAATTTGGTTGGGGAGTAGCCACATCATCCTTAATCAGTTAAAATTATATATTAAGCAGTTTATATTGATCACATAAAGTTTTAGACATATAAGTTGTGATTAATTGTATGTAATATGATGGAATTTATCCCTAGGCAATTTTGTTATATTTGTATGATTAATTATGATGAAATACTAAACTATGGTCATAATTTAGCCCACATGCAATTATGTATCGGAATATAGTTTAGTAATTTTATCAGTGATGATAGAAAGAAATCAATTTTATTTACTTTATGGTTCTTTGTAAATAATTTCCATCTCTATCATAAAGTTTAATTTTATGATGTAAACTTTAGATTATATTTCTTAATTTGCCTACATGGATTAAGAAAAGGAACATGATATTTTAAAGTTTTATCATAATAGTTGAAATGAATCTTATTGAATAAAACTTTAGCGTACAGACAAGTTTTATGTCACGTGATACTTCAACTCATTTGATAATTGTTTCATCATAAAATTTCAGTTGGATCTAAATGAGTTTTATGTCACTAGATTCTTTTGTCCATTTAGTAATTGAGATAAAATTTTATCATAAGGATTTAATTGGATTTAATAGAATTAAAATTTTAGCCCAAATGCAAGTTTACCACCTTCCCAAAATTTACCACCTTTCCAAAATTTACCACCTTTATTAATTGTTTCACGAAACTTACTTGGTTATTTGGACCAACTATAGTATTAAGTTATGTAATATGATATACCTCTTTGGATTCCAAGGATTAAGTGTATCTTTTGTGCCAAATTCTAACTTGGTTTTAAAAGTTGTATTTTATTATTTTAGTTAGACTATAATTGGAACCAAATATTGATTATTTAGTATGCCCAACTAATGGTGAGGAATTATATCTTCATTATTTAGTTGGTCAAATCAATTATGAGAGCGCGCGCGCGCACACACACACACACACACACATATATATCATTAACTTCCGCCAAAAAATATCTTAATCTTGTATTTGTTCATATAAATTCATATAAGTTCAAATTATTAAACATTATTGTTGTGCAACATATCTATGAAAATGTTGTAACAATATTAAAGAGTTTATTAGAACAAAAAAAAAAAACATTTAACTTGTGGTGCACCGTTATTTAAATAAATTCTTTAATATTTAATAGAATC